AACTTGAATAAAAAAATCTGGATGAGTAGAACAAACATCACCAAGATTTTTCACACTATAGATTGTGTGGTCAGGCCTTATTGTGTACATTATTTTTATAATCAGTTTAGAGCAGGAAGCTCAGGCAAGTTTTAAAGTCTGGAATCTGCCACACATTTTAAGGCACAGAGGGATTGCTGCCCATGGGAAAGGCTCCAATCTAAGACCTAGATATTAATACAGAAACAAACTGCTGAAAGATTAAATAGATAAAACCCTGGAGGACATTGACCTGGGCAAGAACTTTCTGAATAGAAAGAACTCCAATTGCACAAGAAATAATGTCAAGAATCAATGAATGAGAGTATATCAAATGAATATCTTCTGCACAGTAAAAGTAACAATCAGCAGCCTGGACCACCTACAGAATGAGACAAAACATTTTCCAACTATTCCTTGGATAGTAGACCGATATCTAGAATATATAAAAAATTCAAATTATTCAAACCCACCAAATGAAATATCCAATCAGAATATGGGCAACTGAAATGAAAAGACACTTCTCAGAAAGTATGAATGGCCAATAAATACATGAAAAATGTTCAACATCTGTGGCCATCAAAGGAATATGAATTAAAACTACAATGAGATTCTGTATTATTCCACAAAAACTGCTAATGTCAAACAAAATCAAACAATAAGAAATGCTAGTGAGGCTGTGGGGGTGAGGGGTTGGGGAAGGAAATCCTTCTACCTTGTTAGCGGTAATATAATGTAACATAATCAACCTACAAATCAGTATGGAGATTCCTCAAAAAACTAAACCTTGAAATTTCATTCCATTCACATGTTCCACTTCTAGATAGATTCTCTAAAGACTTGAAGACATCATGCTACAGTGATACTTGCATATCCAGGTTTATAGCAGCAATAATTTATCAATAGTTAAATATTGGAAGCAATGTACAATGAAATGGATACAGATTATGCATTATTTATACACAGTGGATTAAGGAAAGATAAATTTGAGTCATTTATAGAAAAATGGATGCAACTTGAGGCCATAATGTTTAGTGAAAAAATCCAGCTTAAGTATCTTATAACTTCTCTTATAAGAGATATGTAAAGCATAAATAATTTAAAGAGCAAAAGAAAAGGTACGTAGTAGGAAAAAGGAAAATAGATCTTTGGTATATGGAAAGGTGGTAGTGAGATGGAGGGAGAGAGGAGAAAAGTAAGGGAAAGGGGAATAAAAGAAATAAAATACATTATGTACTACTTCCTACAATGAACATAATCATTATGTTCAATAAGCATGTCCTAATAAAATTTTAAAAATTAAAAATAAATTTAAAATATAAAGATGCTAATAGAAAATGCTGCTCCCCTCTTAATGTAACATGTTTCTGTTTTAACATTTTTTTGTTTTGTTTCAGTTTGTACTTATTAGACACAGTATCTGTGGTAATTTTAATGACATCATTTAATCTTTTGTTAAGATGAACAGTTTGCTATAGCCTTTCTTTGTAGTGAACATGTGAATTTACCCAAATGTCTTTGTTCTATTTATTTAGGATAATTTAGACACTGCTTTTCTTAGACTCAGCTAAGAATATAGCACAAATACAAAGTCTGTTCAGTCATTCAGTGGGAGACCTTTGCTGATGCTTTAGTTCATTGTTCATTAAGAGCTTAAAACATACCTAGTTTACACGTTTCCTGCCATTGATTGGCTTGAGAGTGTTTTTTCTCTCTATTTGATTTTTGTTTTTCTCTGCGTACAATGGAGGATAAAGTGAACAGGATCAGAGGCCACCTATAAACTAAAAAAAGCCGACAGACTATTAGTTTGTGTAAGGCAGTAAGTTCTTCTATTTTGTCATATTGTCATGAGTTTTTACGCCTTTTGGTAAGGCATACATAGTCATTTTGCTTTGTGATCCACCATTGTGCTACAGGATTGAGCTACATCTGAACTTTATGTTTTTATCTCTATATGGCTCTTGTAAGCAGTCAAGTTTGGACTTTGTTTAGAAATTTTATTTAATTCCTTTAGGCTCCTATGTCTTTAATTTTACAAATCCTTTGAAAGACTGAAGATTCTCTCTTTTCCCCATTAGTTAGAGGATAGATGAAATGAATAAAAATTTATACATGGTCAAGACTTTCAGGTATAAGACCTTCCTTATCGGCTGTCTCATCTAACACTCAGAACACTGCAGGGAGGTAGGTATTATTATACATTTTCCAGGTAACAAAACAGGGTCAGAGAAATTAACAACTTTCTAGGATTAGAAGTGTATTATGGGAATCAGGTTCAAACTCAGATGTATTTGTCTCCAAAACTTTCCTATGCCTTAGTTTCCAAGATTTTGAAACATGGATTCAGATAAACAAAGGATATCAGATATCAAAATATCTGAAGCTATTTTCAAAATATTTTATTTCCATGCTGTTTTCTTCCACAAGTAGGGAATTGTCTTTGTACTGTGCTTAGGAAAATACGTGACCACCTAAAGAGACACAGATAATTTAGGAATAATAATTATTACAAGAAATTTGGTTTCTTGCCTTGCCTATTTGATTTGCTCTGTTGGGCCTCATGGTGTTTTGACCTTCATTGTCTTTTTCTAGGATATTGTTTAGAATTCCTTGTAGTTCTGGTTTGGTATTCATGAAGTTTCTCAGGTGTTCTTTGTCATGGAAGTATCTTATTTCCCCATGCATTTTGAAAGAGAGTTTTGTAAAATAGGAAGAAACGGGCTAAAGGTATAGGGGAAAGGGGAAGGGTAGGGGAAAGGTAATAAGGGAAAAGAAGAAAAAACATGAGAAAATGAAAAAACATAAATAAAGTATTTGTAAATAGGGAAGGGAGGAAGGGGTGGAGGGAGCATAGGGTTAAGGGGAAAAAATGAGAACCAGGACCTGTCACGTAAAGGTACAAGATCCCAAGGATGAATGTAACTGTACTGTATACCTAAAATGTACCAATAAACTCAATGAGAAAAAAAAAATTTGGCTTTAATTCTCATCTTTATATGACTTTAAAAAATGTTACAAACCATTTAAATTAGAAAATGTATTGATATTTTATTTCTATTAGCAATTTTTTGTCTCAGAATACTAGCTACAGTATCTTATAAATTCAACCTTGTTTGTACAAGAAAATGCATGCCTTGACATAGCATTTGATCACCTAGGAATTTGATGTAGAACAGTTAGGGTAAAGCGAAGTTCAGATATGTATGGACTCTGAATAATGGTAACATAATCATTCAGGGAATATAAAACTTTGACTAGAACTTTCAGTTGTGTTGTGTTTTCATTTGATAGTTTTGAAAACAATTCAGCTTACTTAAAACTAAACTTTAAGAGAATTCCTATGTTATTTTAGCCACTTAATTGGCTTGCAGTAAACATGATGGGAGCAAGTGTCTAGAACAAGAATGATGGATTTAAAAGGGAGAAGAGAAAGAGGATTCATTGAAAGAAAATTGTCCATATAGACTTAGTTTTCTACATTTTTAAGGTTTGGATTATCAAAATTTTTCTAATTAGATGAAAGAATGGAGCCAGTGAGTTTTTATGTTTTTTTTTTCTTTAAACAAACAGTACTCAGATTTACAGGTATTTTCTGCAAGAGTTGTGTAAATTAATATAATAAGTAATAAAGCAATGAGACTGTTAAGTTTCACTATCAGTGAGGGGTGTTGGTTGGAAGGCCACAGAAACTATTGCCCTTTTCAAATAATTCACAAATGCACTAATTACGTGTCAGATATGAAAGTTGAGGCACTGTGACCTTCAAGCCAACAAAAGACCTTTTCAAGTAAGCCATTTCCATGTACATTAATAACGTGAACAATGCCCTTCTACAGTTAAATAATGTATGGCTGTTATTGTATTATATGTAAATGCAAGCCAAGAAGTCATTTGATTATTGACATATTAAAAGTGATGCTATAAAAAGCAAAAAGTATAAATAATATTTGGTGGTGTGCTTAAAATAGTAATACCGAGATCTGTTTCTTGTTTATCAGCAGCATTGCAATGGTGTGGAGTTTTTCCTCAACAATATATTATGGGTAAAAGTAGTGAAAATTGCAATGTATTAGCACATAATAACTTACAGAGACATTGGAGAAATTAGGAAAAGATGTAAGAAAATCTACTTCCTGCAGTGATAAAGCCAATGAATTTTGTAGATTAGAGAAAAGATTTCTCTGTGTTAGCAAGAGAAATGTCGACCTAGTGGGGTTCAGAGAAAATAATTCCATACTTTTTCCCATGGTTATGATATGAAGAAGCTATCTGTAAATACCATATATAGGTAATGGACATAATTTTAATTATTTAAAAGAACACCCATAAAAGGACACTTACTGCAAGAGAATGTAAGTTTCAAAAGCATTAACAATAAAAAAAAAAGAAATTTAGGTGTCACTAATGCTTGAATTAAATTGACAGCTTAAAAGTCAAACAGTGTCCATTAAGCTGTAATAGAAAATCAAGAACAGGAAAAAAGTATTTAATTATCTTTTATTTGTCTAGCTTGGAAGTATATTTGATATTGAATAAAACATGAATAAGATACATTCATGCTTAATGCAACCTAAGTGTGCATAATAGACCTCTGGGAAATAATAAACCAATTACAAACTTAAACCATAGTCATATGAGATTCCAAGAATGTACTGGTATACAATCCAAAGATAATTTTTTTCCAGTCCTATAAGAGCTTCTTGTTATGGGTTAGATGTTGATCCAAGAGATAGAAGAAGGTTTAGTGATTCATTCATTAGCATTTTCTTTTTTTTTAAACAGTTCTCTAGAGCCCTTGATTGTTGTTTTAAAAGAGTCTCTGAATTCATTCATAAAATATACACCAGTGACATTTGTGAGAATTCTGTCACTGTCTTTTCAGGGAATGTATACACACTCTAACATATCTAGCATAATAAATGTTTCAGCAATTCCTTGATGATCTAAAATATTTTCCATTATTTTAAATTGTATTTAAGGTGGCAAATCTTGCTTGTTCTATGTCAACAAATGAAGATGGAATTAAAATTGTCAGAACTGCAGCCAATCACCTGGAAACACTGTGTCCACAGGTATGATGATTATGTTACTCTATTTTTTCATATATGAATAAATATATATGTATATATATATATATATATCCATTCCTTCATAATATAGAAATGTATATTAACTTTAAAGATGGATGACTGAATTTTTCAGCATCATGATTTATTCTCTAGAAAAGAACTGGCTCTTGTAGCTCTTTTAGATAGTCCTGAGAGATGATATGATAATGTTAAATATCTTCTAGTATTCTGAAAATTTATAAGAACTGCGGTAAATGAACATATTGAATCTGGATAATTAAAGTTTTTTCTACTGATCTATCTTTTTAAATTTCTTTCATTTCTAGTGAGGGTAATGTGACAATCTTAATGAAAATCCTAGACTAGGATCAAGAAAGGATCTTATCTTCTTGGTTTTTCTATAAAATAGAATATTACTCAGCCATAAAGAAGGAGAAAATAGATTCATTCATAGGAAAATGGATACATATTGAAGATATACTCCTAAGTGAAATAAATAAGTCACACATGTGTAAATACCGAATAGTTTCCCTGGTGTGAATAATCTGCAACAATACATAAGATTCTAATAAGATTACTGACATTTAGAAATGGGAAGAAAGGAGCTAAAGGTGTAGGGAAGGTGGGATGGGTAGGGGAAGAGTAAAAAGGGAAAAGAAAAAAATGTGAGAGAATGAAAAGACGAAAATAAAGTGTTTGTAGGTGGGGAGGGGAGGAGGGGGTGAAGGGAGGGCAGAGGTAAGGGGAAAAAATGAGAATTAAGACTTGTCACGTAGAGGTACACGATCCCAACAATGAATGTAACTGTACTGTATCCCTAAAATGTACCAATAAACTCAATTAAAGCTGAAAAAAAAAAAAGAAAGGATCTTATGTAGTGAAAGCCTCTTATTTTACAGATGAACAAACTGGGCACTACAGGATGATTATTATCATATAAGTATTTATTATAAACTACTAGTTGTTTTAGATGGCAGAACAGAATGCTGTCAAATACTTTAATACAGTCATGGATGGCTTCTGCCCAAATTTTTACTACATGAAATGGTACGATCTATTTTTCCTGCTAAGTTATTTTTATGATAAAATACTGGTCGGAATATTCTGATGAATCAGAAATATTTTCTTGTCAATAATTTAGGAGTTTGTTAAACTTTGAAGAGCAACACAGATTTTGAGAATTATTTCTAGATGACTAGTAATCACAGAGCCATGAAACAGAATGCACTCTATAAGGTAATCTTTAATGACCCTATGTTAGAAGAGGCAAAACATCATATGAATTCTTGCTTCCCAAGAAAGATCGTGTATTTTGCAAGGGTGTGAAATATAATAATGATTAGGAACTGGATAGCCTCTGGATATCTGTTGAGATTCTCACTCTGTTAAAAGTAAGGTAGGTGTTAAATTCTTGATTTGTCTTTCTGACAATTTCTTTTTTTTAAGAATTTTTAAAATTAAATTTATTGGTACATCTGTTTTTTTGACAATTTCATTTCTACAAATATTGAGGTACAGTGAGGGAAATTGCTTCTTTGGACCCTATACCGATTAAGAAGTAAAAACTGGTCAGCAGGTCTGCACCTGAGATCTCCCATCTGATGTTAGTTTTCTATGAGACCTTGTAGAGAACAGAAAACTGCAAGGTCTCTGAGTAGTTCTGTCAATTATACTTTTGTCAGCAGTCTGTGAGAGTTCTCACCTTTCCACATCGTGACTAACGCTTGATATCACCCTATAAAGTGTCTTTCAATCTGAAGAGGGTTAAATATATGTCATTGTTTTTAATAGAATATATTTTCAAATATTTATCAAGTATTTTGCTGTCTATGGCTTGCCTATGCCCTTTGACAATTTTACCTGTGTTGTTTACTTTTTTTATTGTCGATTTGCTGAAATTTGTTTAAAAAATCTTTCAAATGTAGCTTTTCCTTTAACTTTCTAAATAATAGGTTAAATAAATAGTTGTAAGAACTTTAATCTAAACATATTATTCGTCTTTTAATTCCCGTAAAAAATATTTATTGAGCAACTGTTTGTGTTCTGGTTTGTGATTTTTGGCCTTGAAAAAAAAAAATTCTACCATCAACAATGTCATAGATTTTTTTAAAAACAAGATTGAAGTACTGTTATTTAAAAATTAGATCTTTATTCTTTTTGAAATTTACTTTTATATATAACATGACATAGGGTGTCTTCGTTACTCTCTCATTGCTAGGACCAAACATTGGATACTTACAAGTTAAAGAAGAAAAGGTTTATTTTAGCTCACAATCTGTAGAGGTTTCAATCCACAGTCAGCTGGCTCTAAGGCAGGACAGCATAGCAGAGGAGAAGCAGTCCATGGCTGGGTAGGCAGAAAAGCAGCAGTGGCGCCTCCTTTTTACATTCCTTCCCAGCTACAAGTCTTTTGGGAGATGTCACCCACTCCCAGGGTGTGGTTTCTCTTTCCAGTACATCCATTCAGCCTATCCAGAAAAACGCTAAAGCAGTTAGTAGACTAATTCAGTACCACACACACTTAATCCCAGTATCACACACCCGTGGTACATCCATCTCCCAAAAGTCCCACCTAGGAGTACATGAGGCTTTGGGGAGACATCTAAATACAAGTCATAATATGGGGATCATTTTTTTATACTGCAAACAGTGTGGTCACCATCATGTATTAGTTTATCCTTCCTCAAGTTTTGCACACACACACACATACACAGTCTCCATTTTTTCTTATATTTGTATACATGCCCATGTATACATATATTAAAATAGAATACATGAAAATATACTGTACATATATACTTATATAATATATACAAATATAACGCATACATATGAAATACATATAATACTTTTTACTACTCCACATGTAAACTGTATAGGTTGATAAACAAATTGAAACATTCTGTTTCATTATTACATAGCCTATGACTTTTTGACTTTCCATTTTGTCGATTTGGTTCTTAAACTATCCTTGAAATAGTAATATCACAATATATTAATTATGGCTTTATACTACATCTTGAAATCCTTTTGGCATATTGGCTCACTTGCTTTTTTTGAAAATTTGAATTGTTATCATCAAATGTCATTCAATAATTTGAATTGGACGTGTTATAATGTTTTGAATTTTAGATTAGTAAGAATAACTAAGTATTAAATATTTCTATCAACAAACATGTTATATATATCTTTTAAATCAAATTTTACCCTTGAGGGATGCTTTAGTTTTTTAGTACTTATTTAAAAATTCCACAGCTAAAAAACTTCTATGTTCTGATAACTTCCAAAATTTTCTGCGTAGAATATTTTCTGAAATAACTAACTCATACTTATTTTTCCTTTGGTATCTCTATTTTCATATCTAGAAGACGTCTAAAACGTAAAAGAGTAAAACACTATTGTTTTTCCATTTCCATATCATTCTACCTCTCCTTCAGTCTACCAGCTTGAAACTACAGCATCGCCATTTGATTGCTTAAAGTGAAAAACCTGGAATAACACTATTGTTTTTCCATTTCCATATCATTCTACCTCTCCTTCAGTCTACCAGCTTGAAACTATAGCATCGCCATTTGATTGCTTAAGTGAAAAACCTGGAGTGAGGGATTCTTTATTCACAAAGAATCTGTTGAGCATTTATTATGCAGTACTTAGAGCTTATGCATCTGTGCAGCTTGTGTACGACTTACACTTCAAGTATTCAGTAGAAATACCTTGGGTGTTCAATAACTTTATTTCATATATAAATAAATGATAGATATCACTCTATATTTGTAAAGGGAAAGAAAACTTTTGGCAATTTTTACACTATTATTAATATTATTTTAAATTACTTTTTGCTACTGGGGATCAAACTTGGGACCTTGCACTTGTGAGGCAAGTGACGGCACCACTGAGCTAAATCCCTGGCCCCTTTACAATATTATTTTTATTATTTTTTTTTCTTGACAAAAAAATACAGGATTAGTTTGAGCTATAACTGATGAAAACAAACCTTTAAAATGACTGATTAGTTTATTTATGCTAACTGAGGATGATGCATTTCCTGGTAGGCTCCAGAAATCTGTTCTTGTCCTCATCATAACAATATTTCATTTTTCATTTGGATTATCAGTCATGACTTTTTAAAGTAAAACAATAAAGAAAACACTTTAACTAAAAGAATATTCCCAAAGAGTCTAGGTAAATTAACTGTCCAAATGAAATATGATAGTTATAAACATTAACCTATTGTATACTGAATACTACAAAGCCAATTACAAAGACAGGGAATAGGAGAATCATGCATCAACTAAAATGTATTCTCCAAAAGATTAGAGGTGTTAGTTAATAGTTATCTCAATGTGAATCCACACTTTGTTCTGGCTTTCAGAAAAGCTGAACGATTTAACATATTTTGTCATAGAACAAGTTCTACAAATGATTCTTAAGCTTGTCTGTACTTCAAATTCATTTTCAAACTGTATGTTATATGCTGTGGTTATTGCTATGGCATTTTGAGATTTGGGATCGGTATGTCTGGAGTGTAGCCTAGAATCTCTGTGTGCATATGTGTGTGTATGATTTCCACTTTGACATTATCTATTGAAATAAACAAAGAGATACCTTCAGGTCAACTTCCAGCAATTTATGGTTATAGATATGTGTGCAGGTGCACCAAAGTCTGTGAGTAAGGTTTTTAGGTATAGTTGTTTGTAAAGTTAAAAGCTAGAAACACAGGGAATGTTATAAGCTGTTTAAAATAGTAACTATCAACAAGATAAATGAAAAAAGAAAATTTCAGATAAATATGTATATGGTCCCATTTATGGCAAAATATATCAAGCTATTTATGTATACATAGAAAAAATGTTTAAAAGGTCTTCCTGGGAGTTTTTTTTTCCCCAGTAATGGGGATTGAATCAAGGGCCTTCATACTGACCTACACCTCCAGCCATTATTATTTTTTTTTTTTAATTTTGAGACAGAGTCTTACTAAATTGCCTAGGCTGGGACTGAAATTG